TTACTGGGAACTGAACGTGGCTTATGTCTTTAAACTGGATGGAAGCCAATTTGAGGGAAAATTAGGCAAAACAACTGTATTGCGCAAGAAACTACAGAATATTTATGGATTTTGACTAACATCACATGTATACAATGATGTGTGCTTTTTAATGCACACTTTCTCATAATGTATGCATTTTTGTACATTGGGGTGGGGTTGGAGGACTGTGTTGCAAAATTGGGAGAAGTGTGGATTTTGAAAGACAGCTGTGTTTTGGTTCATCTATTGTTTCAGTATGAACAACCTAGAGAGGAATTGAACCAAATTTCTCCCCTGCCCTTAGTCTGTTGGGGTAGATTCTGGAGACATGGTCATAGGTAGAGGTCAGACACCATATCAGGTGAACAGAGCTTAAGGGCCATGTTCTGGCTAGTTTTGTTCGAAGCTGCCTACGAGGGGTTTGTTCTTAAAAGCAGCACATAAATTCTTTAAATTAGTAACTCTGGAGATTCCTACTGCACATACATGCATGCTATCAATATTTGCCAACCTGATGCCCTCCAGATGTTGTTGGACTACAACTCACACCAGTCCCAACCAGTGTGTGCTGGGTGGGGCTGATGTGAGTTGTAGTCCAACAACATCTTGAGGGTATCAGCTCAGCGAAGGCTGTTTGGAATACACAAAAACATTTCTCCCAAATGGGTTGAGGAGAGTGCTTTTACTAGGGACAACTACTTTGGGACATTTCATGGTAAAAAGGCAGCAGTTGGAAGGTACGAGTACAGTGGTACCTCAGGTTACAGATGCTGCAGGTTACAGACTCCGCTAACCCAGAAATAGTACCTCAGGTTAAGAACTTTGCTCAGGATAAGAACAGAAATTGTGTGGCAGTGGCGTGGCAGCAGTGGAAGGCCCCATTAGCTAAGGTGGTACCTCAGGTTAAGAACAGTTTCAGGTTAAGAAATGACCTCCAGAATTAAGTTCTTAACCAGAGGTACCACTGTATTGGGGTCTGAAGGGACCCAGAAGTTTGCAGTCTCACAAATCCCTCCCCAACCCAACTATTCTGTCTGCTATAAAACAAAATCCCAATTACCGTACTTGCTCTTTTTGTAGCATGGATGCTGTCAATCCATTTTTTTAATTATTTGTACTGAAAAGTGCTCCGATATTCCCGATTGCCAATATCAAGCGGAGAGGTTAAAAGTTAGTTTTCGAAAGCTCAAATGGGGAGATATATTAGATTATAGTATAATCTAATATATCTCCATTTTGGTGGGAGCCTAAATAAGCTGCCAGACCCAGGAGGCTGCTGTTGAAAAGGGTGCCTTCAGTTCACAGCAGGAGTGGCCAGACTTCAGAACTGCTGAATCTCTCTTTCTGTGTGTGTGTGTGTGTGTGTGCGCGCGCGTGCGTGTGTGTATGAACCTCCAGACCTACCATGCAAAAACTCCCATATTTAATCACTGGCATTTGTAGGTAGAAAGACCCATCTGAAACCCTAAGAGCTACTGTGAATCAGTGTGGACTAGAGGTGTGGTGGGAGAACTCTGGCTTGCATGCCTAATTAAGCCTGATAAGCCACTGTGAGAACAGGATGCTGCACTAGATGGGCCACTGGTCTGAACTTGTGGCCCCCCAAGATGCTGTTAGATTCCACCTCTCTTTAGCCCAGCCAGCATGACCAATGGTCAGGGATGATGGGAGCTGTAGTCCAACAACATCAGGAGAACCACAAGTTCCCCTTCCCCTGAATTCTAGATTGTGAAGGGTAGGTATGGGTACAGGTTTGAGGAGCCCCTGAACAATGTGCCCCCTTCTCCATCAGTGAGCGCTGACAGACTTACCTGGCAATGGGGCAGCAGTATTTTTAACCAACATTTTCACTTCTCTCAAGAGTCCAAAGTGATGCATAATCTGGGGGAATTAAGATGGCACCTGGAGCCAGGGGCCCAACCCTTTTTATTGTGCATTCATGATGATTTGTGCCCATGATCATGACTGCAACTGGAGCGGTTGTACACGATCCTGCTTTCAACACTGTTCATGCTTTCAGGGCAGGAACATTTCAGGGTTCAGGGCAGACCTATAGCTTCATTTCCAGCTGGTGCATTTCTGCTGAAATCCTGTAACTTTTCATACGGCAGATGTTCCAGGTGTATGTCCTTTTTTTGCTGGTGCAAGAGTGTCCCTCCAGGTGACAATAATGCAATAACATTGGGGAAGCATCGCAGGGCAACTAACAAAGCAGAATGAGGTGTGGATGGTCCAGTATAAACCCACCAGAAATGCACTCTTATTGTGTCCTTGTAAAGGACAGCAACCATGATCTCTGATCGCTTGGCTCATCCTTACGTGTGAACACAGTCAATACACGAAAGATTCAGAGTATTTTTAAAGCTGCCAATATATTAAAACTGGGTCATATGTTGGAGCATCTTTGTTTTACCCTGAGAAATTATGGGAAATAATCCTGCGGACTAATGTAGTCAGCTCTTCCATGCTCAGGTGAGCTGGGCCATCGCCTGGTATTAATTCACAAACCTTGAGCCTTTCCTTAGAGTAAGTGCAGTTCCCTTCTCCATGGATAGTCGCTTCTCAAGGGTACCGTTTTTTACTACAGCCTTTATGATTTTATATTGCTGCATGCCACTCTAACATGCAGGGTGGGAGGGAGTTGGGGGGGGGTGATGCGCAAGACTTCATCTGGCCTTGCAAAAACTCAGCCTTATTTAGAAATATATTTAGCCTATGGAAGGCATTACAGTCCAAAGCTGGGGAGGGGGGTAAATCCCAGAGAGTGGAATTTGATAGTCTCATTAATCTGCAAGCAAAAATTCCTTGAAAGGGAGGAAAGGAAGGAAAACAACAACAATGCAAAACCTATAAATCAGATTTATATTTCCTGCTCAAAGACCTTTGCATGTTTTTGTTTTTGTTGTTTGCAGCTGAAGATACAAACCTTAAAAGTGGATGGAACATAAGAAGAGGGACAAAATCCTTTGGCTGGCCAGGAATTCTTCGGAATGTTTGAACTCACTATCTCTCAGCTTTTGTTCTCTCTCTCTCTCTCTTGGGAAATGGGGGTGTCACAATGACCTCCCTTGGTGGGTTATTGTGAAGATGAATGATAGAATGGCTGCAATGTAGCTTTGGAATCCTAAACCCAGGGGTACATTGCACTGAAGGTGGGAGGTCTAGTAGGTGCAAGGGCAGAGTAATCTTAAAAGGGGCTAGGGAGGAACAGGAGTAGCAGGATCTGACAGTTTCAGTTTTATCCATTTCTCATTTTAAATTCTGTTCTCCACATTTCTGGAGCAATTACTATTACTATATTATTAAAACCCTTATGAAAACTCATTAGCATTTTTAGTGCTGATTCCTCCCTAAAAACACATTTTTGTATGCTGTTCTCCCTAATGTACACTTTTTGCGAGCAATTTCCCAAAACATAATGCATTTGGGGTGTTATTTTCACTAGTATCTTCATTTTTATGCACACTTTCCCCAAATATGTGCATTTTGGGTAAACGTTGGTTGATTGGAAATCTGCATTGCTACATTTATATAAGTTTGGATTTTGGTTCACATACTGTTTTGGAAACTGTGAATTTGAAAGATTTGCTTGTATATGAGTACTGTATCAAATTTCTGCCCCATTCCTTCCTCCATAGAGTGGTAAATTCACCAGTGCACCCACACTCCTGCTGTTTCCTGAACTACAACTCCCATCTGCTTCACGCAGTTAACACAGCAAATGCTATACAGGGATAATGGGAGTTGTAGTTCAGCAACATCTGGAGGGACAAAGATTCCCTTCATCTGAGCTAAACAAAGAGTTCTAGTGAACTTAAAAATATTGCTAATGATTTGGCAATATTTCGGTTGGTCTTAATAAATGTAGTTTGATAGTGTGGATTTGGGATTAACATAAGGAAAAAAAGTCCAACCTATTTACTTACAGCACAATCTTGCTCATGTTTACTCAAATGCAAGCCCTGGTTCCAGGGTATGGTTTGAGGCTACTACCTTAATAAAGCCAAGTAAGTCTGGGTCTGGTCAGGATGGGAGACCACTAGTGAACCACATCTTCTGGATGGTTCAGTTGGCTAGGGCATCGTGCGGATAACGCCCAGGCTGCAGGTTTGATCCCTATATGGAACAACTGCATATTCATGCATTGCGGGGGTTGGGGGGTGGACTAGATGATTCTCAGGGTCCCTTCTAACTCTATGATTCTATGTATGTATGTAGGCTTGGGTAGTAGGTAATAAATAATAAATAAATGTAATAATAAATGCAATAAATGTATAAGTGTATACAGTATACATATTGTGTTCGAGGGTGCTTTGTCCTGGTAAACGTGGCACAGGATTTCAGAATTGTAGCAGTTGTGCGCTGAGTGAGTACTCAGAAAGTTAACTCCTAGGTTAAGCGTGCACGAGGCGGCAGCTCTCCGTATCTCGCATCTCTCAGTCGGATGCCCACTGAGCGAGATCCTCGGCGGAGGGTCGCCCTCGCAGGATCAGGCTGCAGCTCTTGCGCACTTGGCTCAGAAATCCAGTTGAAAATTCAAGCGCGCTCGCGGCTTTATTTCCCAGTCACCTGTGCCTCTGGTCGGGGGCGCGCGCAAACTTCCCCGCCACCACGCCTCAAGTTTTAACTTTCTTTCCTGCCCCCCCCCTCCGCCCCATCTCTCGCCGCGGTTTTCTCTTTCTCTAAGTCATAAAAGGTTTACCCTCGCCCCACCTCACTCCCGCAGCTAGAACGCTCAGCCCTTTTCCTAAAAACGCAACCTCGGGTCGCAAACTCTCTTCCACTTTCCCTTTCCCTCCTCCCCCAGCTGGGTGGGAACGGTACCCTCCTCTTGATGCGTCCCGGCGCTCCATTCACAGGTACCCAACGCTCGGGGGCAAGGGAGAGAGGGCCCCGCCCCGCCCCGCCCCGCCTCGCCTCCCTCTCCATCCTTAGCCAGTGGCTGGCGGCCAGGCTGAGACCCCGACGCGTCGCATTGGCCGCCGGCCGCTGCCGCTCCGCGCTCCTCCTCCGCCCCTTCGCTGGGAAGTGGGAGGCGACTCCGCGAGCGGCTGGGTCGTGGGAGTGCGCGCGGGGTGTTTTTTCCCTCCCCTCTCCCCCACTTCTTCCCCTTTCTCTCCTCTCTCGCTCCGCGTCTCCGTCTCCTCCGTTTCCTCGAGTGTTGCAAACAGTTTCGGGTGGAAAAGTGGAGCCGGCAAGGTTGGATGCTGTAGCTGCCGCCGCCGCTGCCGCCGCCGCCGATGATCCAGGCGCCCGGGGCGGAGTAGAAAGCATGGCCGTGTCTTCTCCCCCGATTATCCCGGCAACTTCGAGCGGCGGCGGCGGCAGCGGGGGCAGCGGCGGCACCGGCAGCGCCAGCACCGCCGCTAGCGCTGGGGGCTTGTTCCGGGCGGACGCGCTCTATCCCTCCAGCCCGTCGGAGTCCCCGCGCCTGACGAGCAGCCTCATCCACAGCTTCATCGCCAGCACCGCCAACGCCGCCACTGGCGTGCCGGGCAGCGGAGCTGGAGCAGGAGGAGGTGGCGGCGGCGGCGGCGGGAACGAGTGCAAGATGGTCGACCTGCACGGGGTGAAGGTGGCTTCATTCCTGGTGGACGGGCAGGAGCTGATTTGCCTGCCGCAGGTCTTCGACCTCTTCCTCAAGCACCTGGTCGGAGGGCTGCACACCGTCTACACCAAACTCAAGAGGCTGGACATCGCGCCCGTGGTGTGCACCGTGGAGCAAGTGCGTATCCTGCGCGGGCTGGGCGCCATCCAGCCCGGCGTCAACCGCTGCAAACTCATCACGCGGAAGGACTTCGAAACTTTGTACAACGACTGCACCAATGCCAGGTGAGAGAGAGAGAAAGAGCGCGCGCGTGCGTGCGTGTGTGGGTTTGTGCCTGTGAGGGGTGTATTTTTTTTTGGGGGGGGGACATAGGATATGGCGGTTCAGGCCTCCCCCTCCACCGGGGTCCCGACCGTAGTGAGGAGCAGAGAGGTCCGAGTCCCTCCTGCCGCGGCTCCCTTCCCTGCAAAAACCGGGTCCGTTTGAGGGAAGCGCCCCTTTCCGTGTATGAGTAGGACATCGAAAGTATCCCAAGTGCTTAGCTCGTTGTCTTCCTGAAGCTGAATGGATGTTGCGTGCTTCTTTTTCTTTTTAAAATCACCCGCTTTTTTATTTGGGAACAAATCCCGTTAGGTTTCTGTGATGCTTCCTTTAAAAAGTAGGGTACGCTGCCCCCCCCCTTTGCATCAGATCACAGTTCTGTATAAATCCGACATCCATTTAATTGCAAAGTCCTAGGGCAGGTCAAGAGAATTGTGTTTTGAAGATCCCACGTGTGCGCAAAAAAGTTTTAAGCCTTGTCCAATTTGCTTGAAACAGGAAAATGAGGGAGTAAGGAACCACTGATGTGAGAGATGCAAACAGGTCTTTGTGAAGTGCAACTTGCTTGGTTTTGATTAAGAAAGAAAAAAGTTTATTTGGAAGGGAATGAGGGAGTTATTTTAAAACGCTTTGGAAGGGACTTGCCTGAGGAGTTGCAATTAAAATCAGTGGGCCGGGGGTGGAGGGTGGGTTGGAACCTTAAGCAAACTTCTGAAAGTTTAACCACATTGTAAGTGATAGGAGTTGGTAGGGAAGCATGTGCTCCTCATCACTGATGATTTGGGGTAGATTTGAGCAGACCTACTTGGACATTAGGCTCACAGAAATCCTGTGGGGCTTGTTTGCGTGGAAGTGAACAAGGTGCAGCTGTAGGCAAACTTATTTAGGAGTAAATTAGGCTGCAACTGTAGACAATCTTAGTCAGGAGTACTGCTTATCAAAATTGGTCAGATTTGACCCAGTACATCTAATGATTAGTAGATGTTCAGACAAATGCATTTATCACAGGTGCCCTGTGCTGGGTGCTGTTACCTGCAACTGAGTGGGAAACACTGGGATGTATGGCCAATTCACACATTATGTTGGACACTGGTTCTGTGGGTAGTATCCTAGTACCTGTATATAAATGATGGGTTTTATATTTGCCTGGTGATCAATATTACACACTTTGGTAGGAAAATTCTCCAAGGGTAGAAAAATTTCCGAGAGGAAATACTTAGCATCAGCAATATAGTTCTTTGAACATCACTGGGTGCACTTAGAGGAGTATCTTGTTGATTTCAGCAAGCTTTACAGTACTTCCAACTGCGGGCATTTAAAGAGTGGTTGTTTAAAACTTAGCTTCCTTGAAAGTAAGCTATTTTGATTGGGACAAGCAGATTTTGTTTCCCCAAGCAAATAGGGTTAGGAGTAGGGGATTTAGGATGCGCTTACCAGGAAGTAAGTTCAAACGAAAGCAATGCAACTTTTATATCTCTAAAAAGTGGTAAAGTTTTCAACATTGAGGGCCAGCCTCTTGCTTTTGATAATGAAACCCTATTTGTGTCTACCCAGAAGTAGCTCCCATTCAGCTCAATGGGACTTGCATTCAGATAGAGTGCGCATAAGATCACAGCCTAACAGTGCAGTCAGGCGTGAATCCCATTGAATTCAATATGTCTTGTTCCCAGGTAAGTGGTTATCTGATTGCAGCCCTTACGATGCAATAATTAGCATGTTATATTAGGAACATGTGTATTTAGGGTTTCAGCTTAAACGAACCAGCAGGTGAGCATACCTGCAGCTGAGTTTTAGGAAAAGTAGCTGCAGGAGCTGTGAGATGCTTCCTGGCTTCATTTTGTTTTTCCTGACAAGTTTTTGTCAGTGGGGAGGGTCCCCCTCCCTATCTCCTTCTTTATCCTGTTCATCATTTCAGGATAAATTCAACATGGATCGTTCTTTTTCCTTCTGCCACATTTTTCTTAGTTTTGTATAGTGTGTGGTTTGAACGCCTGCCCTGCCAGGTAGCATTATTGGGGTATAAGCAACTAAAAGCCCTGGGGGCACCTTGGTGTCTGCTGTCATGTACCCTTGGTGCAGTAGGTGAAATGGTCTGGCAGGCTAGGGAGTCTCTCTTTGTATTCATCCCCCCACCCAAAAAATTGCACCAATTTCTCTGTGTTGTAAGATTCCAAACATGGCACAAAGTTGGTCAGTCCAGAATCTGAAATTTGTGGGTGCTTCTTCCCTGTCAGTGAAAGTCTTATTGGACCAGCTCTGCCTGGTGTAGACCCCCATATGGTCTCTTCAGATCACTGACCCTAAATCTCATTGACCCTAAATCTTCTGTCCTCATTAGGTTGCTCTTTGCCCAAAGGAGATTGTGGCTGAATTACATTATGCAAAGAAGTGTGTCCAAACTTTTCCTAATAGTGATAGAATATACGGGGTTGAGATGTTCATGTATCTGGTATCCTTGTCCAGAGAATAACAAGGTTCACAGTTGTGGAGAATGTTAAAAGGAGAGAAGTGCGTTTTTCAAATGTGTAGTAATAAATTTCTTTCTTTTTCTTTTGCAATTGTTTGGCAATCATTTTTGCAATAGTTTTAACGTGCATGAAAGGATATACGGTACTTCTTTGCATCAAAACAGCACACACATACTTCATCTTCCTCTGAAGATGAAGAAAGTTCCCTGTTAGATATTATTTTCTGTGAAACTTTACCTGTTAGGATCTTGCTAGAGGTTGTGAACATAACTTGTGATGCTGAAGCAGTTCATTAGTGCAGCAAATGAAGTGGGGGGAAATTCACAAGAGAGCATTGTGAGATAGGAACCTAAGAACTGAAGGAGAGTTTATAGACTAACTGTTGCTTAGCATAATTCTGGAGCAGTATCATGAGCTAGTTAGCCCAGTGAGTTAGGAGGGTCTGTTCTGTCGTCTCCTTTGGAACTGTTTAAAAGCAGCTCAGGTCCAGGAAACTGAAGAAGCTTCTTCAAATTTTAGGGTGGTTAATTCCATTATTAATTGATAAAGAAATGCATGCAATGTAAGCAAGAATCTTCAGGACTCTATGATGAAAATAAATAAATAAAAGCTTGCATTGGATCCTAAAACCTGAAACTATTAAATAATTTTTATTAGATTCCTCCCCACTCCCATCTTCTTCTGTAGGGAAGGACCTGCATTAAAAACCTATTATAACATTTGCACATGAGCAAATAAAGCATGTGTTAGTTGAAAAAACCACATGGCAGTTTGATTAGGTCTATTGTGACTCATTGTGAGGTAAATGTTGTGCAACTTTTTTGTCCGCAATAGGAGCCTGGTGGTTGGTTACATGTTACTATAGGAAAGTGCTGATCTTACGTACAAAAGTGGGACTTGGATAAACACGTTCTGCACTTGCTGGGGAAGTGTCCTACTCCCTTAGAAACTGATAATTTCTGCAAGACTAGGCTCTTGATCATCACATGTTAATTGTCGGTTTGGCAACAGGTAAAATTCTAGAGCTGCACAGAGCCCTTAACTCTTGCTCACATCCGTATCTATTCAGTAATTTAGGTGCGTATGTGACGGAACAAATTCTACTTCGGGGTTGATTATATGACTATATGCAAAGTCTGAGGTTCAAACAAATGGAGAACATTGCATATAAAATGTCTAGCTTTTATTTAGCAGGTGAAATCTACTTACACACTAAGTAACTCAAAATCATGATCTGATCTACTCACCCAAAGGTGGTCTCCCATGCCAAATACAAACTGCTTGGTGACTCTCAAATCAATTTGTGATATGGCGGGCGGGCGGGCAGGGGGTCTGTTTCAAGAATAAAGAGTTTAAAATTTCGCAGGTTGGCTCAAATTCCTGGGTAGTTCTTTAGATTGAGGGATGCAGACTTCAGGCTTGCAGGACTTTCTTGGTGTTTTACTAGAATTCTGAAATCTCCCAACTGTAGTCAAGTGCAGCATACAAGCACTTTGAAATAAAACAATTCTGAGCCCAGGGTTTTCTTTTAAGTACGGAATTCAAGGGAGCTTTTGGTTCACTCTGAGTTACTCCTACCTTCCTTCCTTCATTTCACAGTACTTTTTCGGGGAGAAGGGGGAAAAGTTTTTTTGTTGCTGTCCTTGCTAAACAATTAAGAGACAGGAATCTTTGCAGGTCCAATATAAATTAGAAGGTCTACCAGTAGATTTACTGTCCTGCCTGCTTAAGACCCGGTTCCTGGTTCTTAATTTTGTGTCCGGCACCATGCTAGTTGACCACTGCCCTTCGTTAACAGGGCAGCACATTTTGCTGACAACATAGCTGCAAAAAATCCAGTGGGAATTGCAAAGTTCTTAACAAACGTCTTTTGACATTCTTGGGTCCAGTTGGCACTGAGTGGGAGATGGGCTCTTTGAGCCATTGACAAAAGCTGCTGGAGGGGAGTTATGAAATCGGGTGTAATAATGGATAAATCTGATGGGGCAGCCTGACAGCAAGAGGCTTGCAAGCATGGAGAAACATAAAATGTGAATATGGGAGAGCTATTTGCGCAGCAGATAGGGAATACAGAGATAGGGGAAAACAGTTGCTGCCTCCCAAAGTGAAACAGGAAAAACTCAAAACTGTTATGTGTGTTTTGCCAGTTAGATTTTTTCAAGTCTGCTCCTACAGCTAACTCAGTGGCCCTTGTAGCTATTATTTCTAATGGTTTCTGCTTTCTGCTTAATTTCAACTCTCTGATCAAGTTGTTCTGATAGCAATTCTCAATCTTGCTGGAAATGAATTACTGCATTTTTATATTAATCATCCTGTGAGATACTTGTTTTCAGTTTTGACTCAGCCACCAGATCAAATGAATCCATCCATCAAAACAAATCTACTTCAGATTTTGATTGCAGATCTGTGTCATTACATGTGTGGATCATATGTACTAGAATTTTCTCTTATGTCAACATTTCTGAGTTAGATCCACACATATAAGATGAATCCAA